AATCTATATATAGTGAAACATTATAAGTACAATAGGTGAAATATTTTTCGGTGGAACAAAAAATAAAACGAATTCCCTTAATAGGGGTTTCCAAAATATGTAGGTTTTTTTGTTGCAATGAAAGATTTCAGTTCACTGCAACATTAGATCTATACATAGTGAAACATTGTGAGTACACTCGGTGAAACATTTTTTGTGGATCAAAAAATAAACCAAATTTCTTTAATAGATGGTTTCCAAAATATGTGGTTGATTTGTTGCAGGTGGGGGCAGATATTATGGTGGGGCCTAACGACATCACCGCGCACTGAGGCGGGGCGGGGGGAGCGCCCTATTTTTGCTCCCCCCGCCCGGTAGCCCGAAGACAAGTATTCTCGATCTTATAACGCAATATAATTATGAGTGGTTGGACAAGAACCAGCAGGTCATCGACAGCTTCCCCGGCGCCAACACGTGGTGGAACCAGCTCAAGGACAAGCGGGAATTGAAAGCACAAGCTGGTGTTCGTGTTCCACAAGCGCCACCGTGAGCTCATGCAGAGCCCCTACCTGCGCGACATAATCCTGCGGGGGCACGAGCCAGGAACCAAGAGCCGGCTCAGCTGAGAGATAGGTGGCTCTTCACCAACTGTGGCAGTGGTGGTAATACGATGTGGTCCTGTGGAGCCACATCCCGTGGAAACATGCACCCAGCCACGTTCGTTCCACACTCGCCATGGACCCCGCCAAGAAGGATGAGATCAAGCACGTACGTTGTTTCGGGAGGGGAAGAAATAGCACTTCGACGTTGGAAGCGTGGCTTCCTGCTGTACGGTCCATCCGGCAGAAAGTGCAGCATGATCTCGGCTGTATCCCACTCCCTCGGCTACGACGTCTGTAGCATGTTTAGTTCTAAAACAAAACATTTTCACGCTGTCATATCGAATATTTAGACATATGTACAGAGTATTAAATATATAAAATAAAAAAATAATTACACAGATTACGTGTAAATTGCGAGACGAATCTTTTAAGCATAATTGCGCCATGATTTGACAATGTGGTGCTACGGTAAACATTTACTAATAACGGATTAATTAGGCTTAATAAATTCGTATCACAGTTTCCTGGCGGAATCTGTAATTTATTTTGTTATTATACTACGTTTAATACTTTAAATGTGTATCCGTATATCCGATGTGATAACTAAACCCAAAAAATTTTCCCAACTAAGGGGGTGTTAAGATCCAAGGGTGTGTAAAGTTTTGTCGTGCCACATCGGGTATTATATAAAGTGTTGCATAGGGTGTTCGGGCACTTATAAAAAAAAACTAATTGCTGTAGGATCACATTGTCAAATCATGGAGCAATTAATCCGTCATTAGCAAATAAATTTATTAAGCCTAATTAATCCGTCATTAGCAAATGTTTACTGTAGGACCACATTCGCAAATTATTCGCAAATTAGTCGCAACCTATGCAGATAGTTATTTTTTAGCTTATATTTAATACTTCATACAGGTGTTCAAACAAGAACCGGGAATAAAGAGGTTTTTTTGTCCCAGTTTATTACTCCAACGGGATTAAGTGATCTTTAGGGCTGGTTTTCCCTCTGACAGGGCGTGTCAGACTCCTGTCGGGGGGCTGGGGAACTAACCCCATCCGGGACTAAAGATCATCTCTTTAGTCCCGGAGATCTTTAGTCCCGGTTGGTGACCCAACTATATATATCCTTTCTTCCTCCTCCAGCCCAAGTCATTGCTGCAAAATGGAGCTTTGAGGGAGGGAGGTGCTGCCAAAATTTTTAATAAATTTTTTTGTTGATAATATACAAATCGGAGGAATCGAGAAGGTTAGCAACTTCATTATCTAATGATGTGTGTTTAGCATGTTACATTTATGGCTTTGTTTGTATTCAATATTTTCTCCAACAAGGTATATGGGTGGGAAATGATGAGAGAGAAAACTTGTTGAGGGAAAATTAGGTTAAAATAATTTGGATAAATATGTTATAGAAAAGTTGACTGTTATCGAAACGACAACCGCATACGTTGAAAGACGTGGTTACTAAACAGTGGATGGAAAAGAAGTAAAGTGTATTAATTTGAGAATTTTTACTTGAGATCCCCCTATTACATGGCCCTACGGGGGCTATTTATAGCCCCCATTACAGGTCTTACTACTAGGGCTTTAGTTATACAGGGGAATTTACATGGTTGCCCTTATGAAAGGGACATTTACATGGGTACATAGCGTAATTGCGGTCCATGGGCCCTTAGCGAGCCGACAGGTTATTGTCGACCCAATTAACCCTTGGGCTTGATGGGCCAGGACAGATTCTTCGGCCCTCCCGGGGCCGAACCTGCTACGGCGAAGTCGTCCCCCTTCGGCATATGCTCTTCGCCTTGCGCAATTCGCCCAGGAGGCCTCTAGCTTGGCTGCTCTTTGCTCCATAGTTTTTGACATGGGGAGGGTTCGCCTCGACTAACCCTGACGTCTCGGGCTTGAATCCTCATCGGTCGCATGTTTTCGGCAGGTTTGGTCGAAGGGTCTCATGCCATATCGCCAACATTGACAAAGGAAAAAATATAAACAACTATTGAAAAACAATGAAGGTATGTTTGGAAATTTAAAAATAATGAAAAAATGGATACTTTGTGGAATTATTGTATAATTATTATATGATTATTTGTACAAAATAATTGAAAACTAAGTTAATTGGAAAATAGTTTAAATTATTGTATGATTATTTAATGATTTTAAGGATGATGTTTTAAATTATTGTATGATTATTTAATGAGTTTGTCTTTCGTGGATTTTTTTTTAAGATTTCAGGTAGATGGATCGGCAATGGATGTACGCGGACTGGCAGTCGAAAGAGTTTATTAACGACGTGCATTACTTTTTGAGTGTGGCCAATGATAACAAGCGTAACGGTTTTATATGTTGTCCATGCGATAAGTGAAAAAACCAGAAGGAGTATTCCACTGCACGAACTATTCATTCCCACCTGTTTCAGTGGGGGTTCATGCGTAGCTACAATTGTTGAACCTTGCACGGAGAGCTAGGGGTTGCAATGGAAGAAGATGAAGTAGAAGACGAGAACATTCCGGACGGGGCTTTGTACTAGGGATTTGAAGAAAACACAATGGGCGAGGCAGACGTAGATGTTGAAGATAATGACGGTGCAGATGATCTTGGTCAAATGTTGCGGGACATACCTGAGGACTGCGAAAGTGAAAAGGAGGTGCAATAACTAGAGCTCATGTTAGCGGACCACAGAACGTCGTTGTACCCAGGTTGTGAGCAGGGCCACAAAAATTTGGGTACCACGCTGTAATTCTTGCAATGGAAGGCTAAAAATGGTATGAGTGACAAGGCATTTTCTGAGTTATTGGAGCTCGTAAAGAACATTCTTCCGGAGGGGAACGAATTGCCCGAAACAACGTACGAAGCTATGAAGGCCATCTGCCCTCTAGGACTGGAAGTTCAGAAGATACACATGTCCGAACGATTGTATCCTCTATCGCGGTGAGGTGCACGAAAACCTGAAAGCATGCCCTGTTTGCAAAGCACTACGATACAAGATTAGACGAGATGATCGAGGCGATGTTGAAGGACAGCCTTTGAAGAAGAGAGTTTCTGCTAAGGTGATGTGGTATTTCCCTATAATACCATGGCTGAAGCGGTTTTTTGGGTATAAATCACATGCTAGAATGATGCGGTGGCACGTAGAAGAATGTAAACAAGACGGGATGCTGAGACACCCCGTCGACGGGTCGCAGTGGCTAAATATCGACAGAACATTTAACGACTTCGGAGAGAATGCATGAAACGTGAGGTTCGGTTTAAGTACGGAAGGAATGAATCCGTTTGGAGAGATGAGCAGCGGCCATAGCACTTGGCCGGTCACTGTGTGCATCTACTATCTCCCACCTTGGCTATGCATGAAGCGGAAGTACATCATAATGTCGATTATTATTCAAGGCCTGAAACAACCTGGTAACGACATTGATGTGTACCTTAGACCATTGGTTGAAGATCTGAAAGTGTTGTGCAGGAAAGAGGGCGTCCTCGTGTGGGATAAGGACAAATAGGAGCAATTTAACCTACGAGCGTTGCTATTTATTACCATTAATGATTGGCCTGCACTTAGTAACCTATCCGGACAGTCAAACAAGGGGTACAAGGTTTGCACTCACTGTATGGATGAAACCGAAAATACGTATCTGAAGCATTGCTGGAAGGTTGTGTACATGGGCCATCGTCGATTCCTTGTTGCAAACCACCGTGTACGGAAGAAAGGCAGGCACTTCGAACAGAAGGCAAACCACCGTACTAAGCCTAAACATCACAACATGAAAGCAGTGTTTGATATGGTGAAAGATCTGTAAGTAATATTTGGAACGGGGCCTAGAAGCCAACCTATATAGAGCGAAGATGGTCACGCGGTGATGTGGAAGAAGAACTCTATTTTTTGGGAGTTACCCTATTGGGATGTCTTAGACGTCTGCCACGCAATCGACATGATGCACCTCACTGAGAACCTTTGCGTAAACCTGCTGGGCTACTTAGGTGTATATGGGAAATCCAAAGATACACTTGAAGCACGTAATGATCTTAAGCATATGGAACAACGCGAGAGCCTTCATCCGGAACCAACTGAGAAAGGACCATAGCCCTCAATTGTTGCGTGGCTGCGGGCTGAAGGGTCAAACGACCCGAGACCCTCACGGTCGTGGTTGTAGGATCACACAGGACCAAACAAACCTACCAGAGGGGTTGAATAGTAGGGAAAACCAAAAACCCAAAAATCTTATGTGGAATTAAAGATTACCCTCAAACGGAGTTGATAACGAAGCCCTGTCGCCGTCGGTCGAACCACCCACTCGCCGCCGGTCAGACCGTCGTATCGTAGCCCCGCCGGTCACAACGCTGCTATCCCACCGGTCAGACCACACACACACCTGCGGTTAGACCGTCGGGACCCAGAAACACTGGTAGATGACAAACTCGAAGATGTAGATTGAAACTTTTTGACTTTATTGCATCAACTAGTGTTTACAAAGTGCACCAACAGCACTCCTTACCAAAATCTCGAATTAAACTCGAAACCCTAACTTTCTCGCAACTCTAATATCTGTAAAACCGATACTGGGAGGCCTCACCCTCCCTATCTTTTTATACATGAGGTAGGCTGTGCAAAGCCCACGAATCTAACACAACTTACGACTCCTAACTCACGTAGGAAACCCTCTCTTGCAAGTATCCAACTTATCTCTTGCCTTATCTCAAACAATCTTCCCGAATTCGGACTCCCTTCCAAATTCGACTCCTCTTTCCATATGTACACAAATCCTCTTGTATACCATATGGATTTCTTCATCACCACATGCATTGTCCTCTAGCCTTTAGTATCCCGCATGATCTCTTAATCCCTGGACATCAACTTCTCCCAATTTGACTCCGATCTATCACCGGTAACACTCTCCCGAGGTCTCAAGCAACAACTGCACATGCAACAACCAAGAAACCATATTCCGAGCCCAAGTTAGTCCCAACTTGACTCACATTAGTATAACAACAATATTCATATGCATAGAAACCATTTAGAAGCCAAATCCCCGAAGGAAACATCCAAATCCAACAAAACAACCCGAAACCGAACATGATCAGGATCCTGCCGGTCAGACCGTCGGGCCGGCCGGTCTGACCGCCGCAACACCTGTGGTCTGACCGGCGGCACACGACCGGTCTGACCGCCAAGGTCAACCGAAACTGCACACTTCATAAAATCAATCGTCTTATAAAATCTCTAAATTAACATTAGCAAACCATCAATATTTTCTTCACAAAATCTAAATTAACTCCTTTATTTTATAGTGGTGTCCTCGATGCATATGTGTCTCGTCCAGGCACGCGGTTGACGCGCACCATCGGTGGTGCCGGGGCTCTCAACGCACGCCGGAAAAGACGGAGCCATCTCCCGAAACGAGCGTCGCGCCAGGGCACGTCAATTCGCGCGCCAATCCATCTCTCGAACCGACCGTTGTGCCAAGGTTCCCCGGTGCCGCATCACGTGCGCCGTGCGTTAGGGCCCCACCTGCCGTCGATGGTGAGGGCAAAGATAGCAGCCGCCGCCGTCCCTCAGACTAGGACACCCCACTAATCCAAAGGAAACCCTAAAAAATCCCTCAATGTCGAGCTGGACCACAAATGAATTAGATGGGCCTCACCATCACGCGGTGACTGGTGGCTGTGTGTGAGATGGTTTGGGCTCTGTTTAATCAGACTATGTTGTGTTTCATTATCAGCTCGGAATAAGTACACTTGAGATCCCTTAACTTATCAACAAATCCGATTTTCGTCCTTCAACCGAAAAACCAGATACAACGGGTCCCTCAACTATCAAAACCGGTGCAAAGCAGGTCCCTCAGCGGTTTTGATAGTGGTTTTGGCCGATGTGGCATCTACGTGTCCTGTTTGCGTCCTACGTGGCGGTGACGTGGCACTGGAAGGAAAATATAAAAATTAAAAACAAAAACAAAAATATGAGGTCCACATATCAGTTAGACAAAAGGAAAAAAGAGTGGACCCACCTGTCAGTGGGTCCTACCATCCTCTCTATCCACAAACGATTGGACGACGGGAGACTGGGAGAGGGAGCGACCGACGCCTCTTGTCTCTCCCTCCCGGCATCCATCCTCGCCGGCCGGCGAGCGCGCACGGAGAGGGAAAAAGGCGCCGGCCGGCGAGTGGGGCGGAGACGGCAGCTGGCCCCCGCCCACTGCGCACTTCTTCGGCGGTCTGCGACACGGAGCTAGGGTTGCGGGAGTCGGAGGGTGGCGGCGCCATCATCCTGCTCGAACAATCGGAGAGACGGCAACGACGAACAGTGTTCATGCAACAGTGTGATTACCTGGCCGGCGACGAACTCAGTGACGATGCGGCTGCCGCCGAGGACGAGGGTATTGGAGACGTTGACGCCATGCTCGGCGGTGGCGTCCGTGGACTGGTCATGTCCGATGACGCCCATCTCCTCGTTACGACTCGCCGCGGACTCCATGGCGGCGGCCGGGCCGCCCTTGACCGTCTTCCCCAACACGAGGTTCTCCGCGCGCCGACTGCAAGTCGCCGCGTCCCGCGGCGCGATGGGCTTGGCCGCGAGGCTTCTGGTCACCGGAAACACGTCGCCATACCAGATCCCTTGCTGGCTCATCCTACTACACTCTCAAAGTAGCTAGTACTAGTGTGGTGAGATCGTGTGTGCACTGTGCTGTGCATGAGAGAGAGATCTTCAAGGTCATATGCGGCGCGCCTCGCTGCATGGGTCGAACGGGGGACACGCAGGGTGGCCGGCAATGGCGGGGCGCCGTGGGTGGGGCACTGGGGCTCGACGGCGACGGGCGGTCGCAGCCCGCCGAAGAGGCGCGCAGCAGGCGGGGGCCAGCTGCCGTCTCCGCCCCACTCGCCGGCCGGCGCCTTTTTCCCTCTCCGTGCGCGCTCGCCGGCCGGCGAGGAAGGATGCGGGAGGGAGAGAGAAGAGGCGTCGGTCGCTCCCTCTCCCAGTCTCCCGTCGTCCAATCGTCCGTGGATAGAGAGGATGGTGGGACCCACTAACGGTGGGTTCACTTTTTTCTTTTTGTCTGACTGACATGTGGGCCCCACATTTTGTTTTTATTTTTTAGTTTTATATTTTCCTTCCAGTGCCACGTCAGCGCCACGTAGGACGAGGACCAAGTCAAACCGGCCACGTAGGCGCCACATTAGCCAAAACCACCATCAAAACCGCTGAGGGACCTGCTTTGCACCGGTTTGATAGTTGAGGGACCCATTGTATCTGGTTTTCCGGTTGAAGGACGAAAATCGGATTCGTTGACAAGTTAAGGGACCACAAGTGAACTTATTCCTTATCAGCTCAGAAGTGATATAATGCACTGATCCATCGTCTTACAACTAATGATGATATAGAAGCGTGAGGTTTGAGCTTTAGGTTTTGATTTCAGTTAGTGGCCATTAGCATAAAGACAGAGATACAGATAAATATAAAAAATTTCCCCATGTGACCATGTCAAAGCATCTAGAATAATGGTTGCTGACTAGGAGGAAGAAGCCCAAAGTTTCCTGTTTGGCTGTTTGCCGGATGCTAGGAATTGGGCCATGCTTTCCTAGCCTGGTCCAAGGCGGTGGTCAGGCACAGCCCGATTTCAGGCCGTACATAGGCCACGCTCGTGCTTGGGACTTTGGCGTGATAGGTCGCCGCATAGCACGTTGTTAGCCTAATCCTAATAGCCCGCCGAGTCATGTAGGCCAGCTAGAGACATCGGGCCCGTTTACTTTGATGTCATTTTCAACTTTACCAAGTTTTGGTAAAGTTATAAAAAAAAAAATTAGCTACATTTAGTTTGTTGTCAAATTTTGGTAACTATATAAAAAATCCTGCTAAAATTTAGTAAGGTTTTTTTTCGTTAGAGTGAACAGCCCCATCATATATATCCGAGTTATGAGGCTCCTGGCCCAGATTGGGGTGAGTCTAGTACGCGACTGCTCGTGTCGAGCAAACGCGTGGACGCTACCTATTTCTTCCGTGCGTATCTGAACCTGCTCACAAAACTCTACTCCAGCCCACAACATAGTCCACGTATATGCAAAATTTTCATGGGCCCACTAGCATATCCCAGCCTTTTCCTTTCTCATTTAGACTAAAATCCAACATAAACAATTCTATTTCATACATGTAACTTTATCTGTATAAACTTTACATATACTAGCTTTATGCATAGTAGTTTTATGTCTTGTTATATATAAACTTTGCATATGCAAACTTTCAACATAGATTTTTTTTCAAAAAAGTATGAGTGAATTTTAAACAATAAAAAAAATAAGTCCAGCGAAAAAATATTTAATAAAACTTCTATTGTACTTAAATGGGCCAAAGTAGAATAATAATCTTTCTACCTATAACTTTATTAATAAATAATATACTTTCCACATGATAAGTTTATATAAGATATAAAATTCTTTCTCTAAATAATAGAAAAAAAATTCAAACATAATTTTTGCTGATATGTTTGAAAAATGAGTACATATTTTGTGATCACAAAATAAATAACAAACTAGAAGAAAAAATAATTTCACAAAAGAAACAAAAAATTAAAAATAAGATAAAGATCTCAACTTAAACTATGGCCCACAAGGCCCATGTCGTATATCTCCAGAATCTAATCAGTTGGTGATTTGAAATTACCACGACCTGGCTAGGGTTAGTACACATATGTGATCCGGAAAAGCGGCATTCGCGTGAACTTGTTCCGGGAACGTTCACGCAATAGCTTTTTCGCTCAGATTGTATATCGGTCTAAGTACGAGATGCTACCTCTGAGTTTTTTATATTTCTTTAAACAATTATAGAAACATATACATTTGTTTTAAAATTTATAGAGGTTTATTCCGCTCTCTAGTACATAGTGACTACAACGCTGGAAGGTGGAGGGCCCGGCAGGTATGAGTTTAGGGGAACCGGATCCTCTGACTTTGCTTGCAAAGTCACGGACGTGCAGTCGGGGTCCAAATCATAGTAGAAAAAACCGGACCGGACCGGCGGTTCAACAGGAAAAAACCGGAACCAGCTCCCTGACCGGCTCGGTTCCCTCAAAGGATCGTTCACGCAATCGACCCGGTGTGAACCGGCTGAACCGGGTGGTTTTCGCGCGAAACCGCTGAACCGGGTGACCCTAAACCGGCTGGCTTGTATATTTCTTATGAGCCTTGTAAGACTGGAGGCCCAACTTGATTTTTATGCGAGAAAAAATATGGTGCAAAGGTGGGATTCTACCCCAGGCTGTTAGGATAGATGCAAACCTTGCCAACCACTAGGCTAAGTTAGCTGTTTTGACTAGAAGACAACACAGAATATACTTAGCCAATAAACCGTGGTTCAACCAGTGACCCACCGGTTGAACCGATAGACCGGTGAACCAAACACTCCACCGGATCAATGACCGGTCCGGTTTTTTCTACTATGGTCCAAATCCACCGTCTGTTGCATCTGACGGTCCTGGCTTGCATAGCGAGTCGCAGCACGCATGGCCGTGCGGACTACCAGTCACGAAGCGGCCTAGCGGATGAACTAGCTCGATCAACACAACACGTGAACTAGCAGAGGGAAAATAACAAAATCTTCACAAATTTTGCGACATAACAGAACACAACTGTTCTATCGTATCCTTGCTTGTTCGTTCCAAAAGAAATTGAAGCATACGCGATCAGGCAAAAAAAAAAAAAGCAATCAATTGTAATGGAGATTCAATTTCTATCACCGATCAAATACCGAAAGAACTTCCAAGCTGCTTAACCAAGAGACCACGGTCAATTGGAAGACGAGGCTGGAATTGATATGCCTCATGCCATACATGTACGCGCGCGTGTGTGGATGTGTAGAAGGAGAAGGTGAAGGTGAAGGTGAAGGTGGAGGCGACAGAAAAGGGAACGAGCACGATACGCCAGCATCGGAGGAAAGAGCCGCCACGGCGCCAGCGGCGCTGCCCTTGCCGGAGGACTGGAGGAATAGATCATCGTGCATTTGTGCTATTGGGCCGAATTAGGTCGCAGCCCGCATGGTAGTGCATGGCAGAACCGTTGGATGCAACGAACGGTGGATTTAAACCCAACTGCACGCTTGTGACTTTGCAAGCAAAGTCAGAGGATCCGGTTCCGAGTTTGGGGCTAGCATGTCTTATCTCTATAAGGTCTTGTTTGGTTTGGAGTCTGGAGGGAATTGAATAGGATTTGAGGGATTGAGAGAGAATAATTCCATACCACAATAGGTGTGGAATAAATCCCTTCCAACCCCTCCCTCATGGGGATTAAACGAACAAGGCCTAACGGAAGAGAGGGAGCGGTGGGTCATCTCACAAACCTATCACTTATATATAGATTAAATAAGTGGGTAACACATCAAATTATCCATTTATTTAACTTACTAGAATAATGCCCGTGCGTTACAACGGAATCTAAATAACATTCATCGACAAAAATTAAAATTTTGAACCACATATCACAACTGGACTGAAAGAAATATGCTTAAATTAAAATCCTAAATCATATATCACAACTCGACTGAAGGAAATATAATAATAAAAATAACAACATGAAACTATAAATAACTTTGGCCCAAACGATAATTCAAATTTGTCGACGTTTGATGTCTCGACTACGGTATTTGCATGGTATGGGGATCATTGGTACTAGGATATACGCGAGACCGAGGTAAAAGAGATGAAGACAGGGATTTTTATACAGGTTCGGGCCCCTGAATTGTCAGGTAATAACCCTACATCCTGTTGGCCGAAGCCGGTATTGCTCTTATTCATGATAATCACACCAGTATAATATTTGGGGTAGCCTATCTAACTGTTGTCGACATGGCGGTATGATGATATAACTCGTAGTCGACAACAGGGTAGCCTTCCTCCTCAAATCCGTGCCTGGCGAGATCAGAGATAGTGCTTTCGTCTCTCCTGACAGTATCTAGAGACACCGTAGGGGACTAGCCATGCCTATCCCTGAAGTCGATATCCGGCGACGTGTCTTGGCGTATGTAGGCTTCTATGTCTATTGTGTTGGGTGTTGATTGCCTCGTCCCCACTCTCCTCCTAAGGGGGCTTGTATTTATACCCATAGGTGTCCCCTTGTCCAAGTTGAACTAGGGAAACCAATATGGATATAATCCGAGTAGTCCTTGTCGTTTCCATGTAGAACTCTGATTATCTTTCCTTATCCGGAACTCCTCCTATATCCACAGGTTGTTTCCATATAGGACATGGTATGTGGTGGGTCCTTCCGAGATTTAGTCAACTACTATTAGGTAGGTGGTATCCATAACCCTGACAAAATTATTTAATAATTTTAATACAATAATTTTTAATCGATCAAATAGTGCTAAAATTAATATTGTAAATGGAAAAACAACTAAAATTAGCTAGAAATTAAAAAAAAACTTATTTTAGCCCATAAATACAAATCCTATCCATCATTTCTGAATAGGTAACCATTTTATTGACATAAATTAGAATTTTCCTGTTATATTCATATTCTATTGTCTCAATATTATATGAGTGGTTCAGGAGCATAGTTAGGCTAGACCAAGAATGAATAGTGTCTTCGTCCATAGATGGTGGAGGTTGGTAATGAAGAAAGTCATAATAGCATGAATGTGGCTGGCAATAATGTAGTACCGACAGAGAGAGAAACAGCAACGACAAGATCTAGAGGTGAACACGACTGGATAAGTGCGGCATTTTAATAAAAAACATATCGCTTAACCGTTTGGGAATCATGCGCGTAGAGAAGCGAGCAAGTTTTCCACTCTTATCACATCTCCTAACGAACGCACCAGAAAACAGAGCACGTCACAGCTGTTGGGTGACGACAGTAGACCAGTGGTGGCATCCAAGGGCGCTCGAAATCTTCTAGGACTTTTTCCTCAAGATGTGCTTAAGAGCAAGTTTAATAATACAGTGAACTCCCAGCTCCAAAAATTAAAATATCAGTTATAACGACCTAATAGTATATTCATGCATAATTAGTTAT